TTTTTTTTTTTTTGAATTTACGCTTAAATAAATTGTTTTCAAGCTTGTTTTGACATTTTCTTTTCAATTCTTGCTTCACTCTTTATCATCACTTATATCATCAGGCATAAAATGGTGATCATAAAATGCTGCTTTCTTAGTCGCTTAACTTTACTGAGCTTTATACTTACATTAGCTTGTTGTTCATTTAAGTTAGTGTAATTTAAAACAGATCTACCATTTCGTATTTACTGATTTATATTATCAGTGACGTTGCTTGCCAACAAGGAAGTAAAAAACTTTTTCATTACAAGGAGATAAAAATTTATAAAAACTGCTTCAAAAAACTAGGAACAGAAAAGAAAAGATAGAAAAGGCTTTAATGGCCGTTCCAAGATTTTCATCTTTTAGGGCAAGTGGTTGAATGTTCAGGAAAATCAAAAACGTCGTAGATAGAGTAATTAATTTGAAACTTGCGATAACATCTGGGGCGATGGTGGATGCGATTTACAAAGCTGTACTCTTTAATTCCTGGTAAAAAAACCGGAACAAGATACACTGTCAGGTACTGAAAAGATTTTTTTACTGTTATAGTTTTACTGCACTTTTATCCTTAAAAAATTTCTTTCAACTGTACACAGTATATATGCATTTTCTCCAATTTTCCTGCACTGCTTTATTATTGTCTTTTCCCCACTGCTTAACCTGCTTAACCCTCTGCTTAGTCGTGGGTAGGCCTGCAACATTCTCATTCAGTTTGTTCCTATGCGGGGGGAAAGAGGGAGAAGAGGAAGTAGAGAAAAAAAAAACGAATTGTGATCCAAAAGTTTTTACTGAATTGTGAATGATATAGAACAACTTTACAATGCAAAAATCTATTGCACATTTACTTTTTCCAGCCTTCTTCCGCTTTTTAATTTAGTGTTTTGCAGTCTTAATAAGCGTCACACATAAATAAATTTAACTTTATTATTTTTATAGACTTATAATTAATCTTCAATCAGGTGAACAAGAAAGAAAACATGAGAAAAATATAAGGTTGACAAAATACGTAAATTTAACGTCATTGCGCAAATCAAGCCTCAAATCAATTGCTCCAAGTTTCACAGAACCCTTAAACCCCGTATTCAGCACTTTTTCTGGTTTAGTAAGGCAGAAAGTAACACTGATTTGAATCTCACTAAACCAAATATCGAAATTGTTTTGGCTAACTCACCAAAAGAATCTTTCTCCCACTTTCCCTTTTTTTTTTCGTTTCTTCAAATTCACCTCTCTGCCCACTGAGAGCAGGGATAATGCATCGCTTCATTTGATGTTTTCCACTAGGATTTTTCTGACTCGGCCAACCCCAAATAATTTCTGTATTTGGAAACTTTTAGTTCTATGCGCTTGGCAGATATAGACTTCCAATAAACGGTTAAAAAAACAGAATTAATTTTTCAATTTTTTTAATGCGCGAAAGAAAAGCGCATTTTCAGATTCACAAACTTATAATTGCAACAAACATGGAAAAGTAAATGTTATATTTAAAAAAAGAATGATGATTAAGATTACTGAACAAGAAGACTGGCTATCAAAAACAAGAGCTTATTTCATTTGAACGTACATATCACTTTCAGTTAAATTATGAATGATTCAACAAAAAACTTCTTACTTTTTGTTTAACAAAAACAGTTAATAATAGCTATCGCTGAGTCTCCTCGTTACCTTTAAATAAAGCGGAATGTTTGAGTGGTTTTTTTTTATTTGTTTTGTTTTGTTTTGTTTTATTTTATTTTATTTTATTTTATTTTATTTTATTTTATTTTATTTTGTTTTGTTCTGTTTTGTTTTGTTTTGTTTTGTTTTGTTTTGTTTTGTTTCGTTTTACTTTGTTCTCTTCGGTATTCATAAGTAATTGGAAATAGTGAGCTGAGAACAGAAAAAAAGCGCTTTAAATTTTTGCCAACAAAAACTTATTGCACTTGGATGCTTTCGCTTAACCAGTAAACTTTGCTTAAAAACTTTTTTGAATAATTGGCAAGATAAAGTATGCCAATAGTCGTATCAATTATTGCCTAATTACACAAATCTGCTTTAAAACAGTTCTTGCTCTCAGTCTTGTTGGTCTTCTTGGATTAACAACTCATTTCTAACAATCTTTCCTCAGTTACTGTAATATTTTTGGTTATAGTAAGCCTTTTCTGCTCAAGACTATCATAAATAATTTGGTGTAGCTGAAGCCATGGTAATAAAAAAAACATCCAACAATCAAAAAAGTGGTTGAGCAAAGTACCATTCGCAACCAACATTACCCTTACAAACATATCAACAAAGTGATCAACCAGCAAGCACTACGGTCATTGACGATTTCACCATACTCGACACTTACGAATCGGATTCATTGTACTACCTAATGGGCAGTTAAACGCTCGAGCAAAATCAAGTGAATTTGATAAAGGTCCACGGACTCTAGAATTACTAACTGTTAGTAATAGTAAAGATTTCTTTGTGTGTTTTTGAGTTGTTCACAGTTATAATTAAAGAAGCATCTTTTCAAAAACACTTGGTGGTTTTTTTTATAAGGAGGATTTGGAAAATTCAAACAACATTGAAGCTTTAAGTACACATTTTATATTTTCCTTTTTTTCATTATTAGTCATCCTTTATATAAAACCAGAATATTTAAAGATTAGTTGCTTTAAACAGTACTTGAACTTGCTCAGGTATAGGCTTAATTAAGGGTAACTGAAGACAGCCAAAAAATTGTGCTATTTAAACAGACCTTATCAGCCCAGGACAGTGCTCTGAAAAAGACACTTTTCTTGCAGCTTCTTTATCATTCATTGCGCCACACCAAATCTGCAAATCAAAAAAATTTTTTGAGCCGATTCAGAGCTGAAATAAAAGACGATGTAAACAACAGTTTACTTGAGCATAATTCAAGAAAAAAAGTTGATCATTGGTCATGTTGATTCCAGGTAACCGCAAAGTTACCGGATGCTCCTTTTCATGCTTTTTGTACGCGCTGTAGGCTTGTTTTAGCCCGCCATTGTCCGCTATATTTTCTCCCTAAATCCAGCATCACTTTATTTATTATCACAAATTTTAAATGCCAGCAAAACATCGATGAGCAGTTTTTCCAAATCTAATAAAAACGGAGGAGTTCAGGAGAAGAATAGGCAAACATTTGGCATATTATAACTTGTTAGCAAAAAAAGGTATGCGAAATAAAGTTGATAATTTTGATATTTAAAAAACGCATCAAACTAGAATTTTGTTAGTCAACTTTGAAACAGACCTTTCAATTTTTTTCCTAATGCTAAGAATCGAAAGAAATATAAGTTACAATCTCAGTTTTTGAAACTTGATGTAAATAATCTATATTTAAGCTTCATTAATCTTTTTCTTGCGCTATAATTTCCTAAAAAAGCTGTATACCAATATTTCAGTTATATAGACACAATAAACCTTTGTCAATTGGCCGTCGACGGACATGTTGACTTGTCGAAGCTGAAATTCTGCGTACTGTTCGGTAATACACTTAGCCCTTTTCTCAAACTCCAAAATTGTTGCGTTGTCCCACCATTGCCGAATGTTTCCATACTTATCGTATAACCGACCTTCAATCAACTTGGAGTTATTTGTTGGGAATAAATAAATCCATCTTTTTCTTCCTCTTTTTAAAAATTAAGCTTTTGACTAAGTTCTACATTACGATTAGACTGCAAACGGTAGATAAGTATAGATGGAGTAAGCTAACTTATTTCTTCTTGACATAATACCAATTAGATTAGCCAAGTAGTCAACGAAAGATAATAGTGATTGCAGCAATTCAAATGTCACCTCTGTCATCAAAGCCGTGAGTTATTTCATGACCAATAACAACACCAATGCCACCAAAGTTCATTGAAGATGGAAAATTTTTATCATAAAATACTGGCTGTAGTATTCCAGCAGGAAATACTGCAAATATTTTACAGCAAATCAAACAAATTCCTAACAGGAAGCTGTGGAACTTGAGCATCAAAACTTTGTATACAAATGTAAAGAGTTTAAATAGTTTTACCAACAAATTTTGTGCAAAAAATAGTATAATAAGACTGACTTATTTCGTTCGCATTTGGACTGTAAAATGCATTAACAAGTGCAGCACCAGCTACCCAT